TGATCATGCGAGTGGCCCTCCTTTGGACCCTCTCGATGCTGTCCACATCCCTCTTAAAGTGCGGCTCCCAGAACTGGACACAGTACTCTAGCTGCGGCCTGACCAGTGCCGCATAGAGGGAGAGGATCACCTCCTTCGTCCTGCTTGAAATGCATCTGTGGATGCACGACAAGGTACAGTTGGCCTTCCTAGCCGCCTTCCCACACTGCCGAGCCATGTTCATCTTGGAGTCAATAATGACTCCAAGATCCTTTTCCACCTCCGTGCTGACAAGAAGGGAGTTCCCCAGCCTGTAGGTATGGTGCCGGTTGTTCCTCCCCGGGTGCATCACCTTGCACTTGTCTGTGTTGAACCCCATCCTGTTCTCCTCTGCCCATCCTTGTAACCTGTCAAGGTCCGACTGTAGCCTGTTGCTCCCTTCTATTGTGCCCACATCCCCCCACATCTTGGTGTCATCAGCAAATTTGAACAGGGTGCTTTGCACCCCCTCATCCAAATCACTGATGAAGATGTTGAAAAGGGCGGGGCCGAGGACCGGGCCCTGCGGGACCCCACTGCCCATGTCCTTCCAGGCCGAGAAGGACCCATCCACTACCACCCTCTGGGTGCGGCTCTCTAGCCAGCTGGCGACCCATTGGACTGTGTGGGTGTCTATGCCACAGTCCCCCAGTTTCCTAATGAGAACGGGGTGAGAGACAGTGTCGAAAGCCTTCCGGAAGTCCAGGAAGACTATATCCACTGCTACCCCTGCATCCAATGATTTAGTGACCTGATCGTAGAAGGCCACCAGGTTGGTCTGACATGACCTGCCGCTGATGAACCCGTGCTGGTTGCCCCTGAGCATGCATTTCCCTGCTGGCCCCTCCTGGATGTGTGCCAGAATAATTTTCTCGAACAGCTTGCCCAGCATCGAGGTAAGACTGACTGGCCTATTAATTAACTGGAAATACAAAAGGCTAGGCAAAAAAAATGTGATTACGGCTTATTTTATGCATCCCACAGGCTATTCAGTTTGGAAATAGCCCGAATATCTTCATTGATGCTGCATCTGCTTACAGCATCACTAACTCACAGGATCAAGGCCAATATGTTTAAACGATTTACAGCTATTTAATAAGCAGGAGAGCCTATAATGACCACTATATGCTTACGAATTTTGTTAGTTTAAAAGCTTATCCCAAGTTTTTTAAAACATTGCCACATAAAACTAGTTTAAAGCTGGTTTGGACTTTTGTCTTCCATTAAAAAAAAAAAATCCATGCCAAATGCCTACCCAGGGAAGAAACCTTATTTTGTTATACTCATTTCGCTAAAAACAAATGTTGCTCTTTAGCTATGATCTGCTTCATTTAATTTTGCAATAGAGAAACAAAAAAAAGGGTAACTATTCTACTTTCAGCTTTCCTTCTTCTGGGTGTCTATACCAATCTACACATAATGTACAATGTACAATGATTCAGGTAACATAAACATGTTCTCAAAATCCAATGAACATTAACAATAATGCTCTCTAAGTTTTTAAAATCCCATCTGTAATGACACAGAGTTAAGAAAGTTACTTTTTGCAACCCCAAAGAAACCCGAGTACAAGATAGACTAGAAGACTGGTGGCAAAGTAGCAGTTCTGGAGAAAAGTGGAAAACCACTAAGAAAGTCAAAGCAACCAAAAGTCAAACAGATGGAGAGAACATGCAAACCAAAGTAAATAAAAAACGAAGAAAAATTGTTAATGAACCTTATTATTTGATGAGCTTAGTATATTTCACACAGTGAATATTTCTCTTCAGTTCAAATACTTATCCATGGACCAAGCTTTTGCAATAGTAGATGGAACTTGACAGAGGGTATAAGGTACTCTGGAGATTTATATATAAAATTGTATTTTAAAACCTTTTGAATTTATTAATATGAATTTACACAACAATTCCCAACAATTTGCCTTACCTTTTGAAAGTGCAAGTGAATGACAGTAACCACAAGCTACTTGTACTATTTGTATCTCTGATAAACTTTTGATATTTCTATGGGGGAAAAAAAAGAGAAAGCATTAGACCACTGCATCTAGGTATTGTGACATACAAGACAAAATCTGAAAGAAGAACATAAAAATACTTGTCAAACTTTTCCACTAGCATGTGGTTGAAGCTAGACTAAATTTTATGAAGCAGACTTTATTCAAAACCATTCATTACAAGATATTAAACTAAAGTTCTTATTAACTGGAATCCACAGAAATTACCAAGACTCTTATTAATACCAAAGAAGTCCCTTTAAGAACAAAGGTGTTTAAGTGACACTAAGAATATCATAGTACAGGACTGGGAAACATTAAAGGAAGAGGTTAAAAACAAACAAACAAACCCTCCCTACAAACTTGTCGTGCTCTAGGTCTAAAGATTTAAAAAATTTATTCCTCACCACCCTAATACAATAGGGTGGACACATTAGGACTCCTCCTAAGCAGTCCTAAAAGAACATCAAGACACAAGGATTACATTGTCTTCCCCTAATCCTAACTTCAGGGGGAAATTAGGCGGAGTTGGCTAGGGACAGACATTACACACAAACTGGTTTAAGTGATCAGAAACTGATTTAATCCAGTAACAGAACAGATGTTCAGTGCACATAACCCAGTTTGAAAATGGCTTAAACCAGTCTGCGATAAACCTGGTTGAATGTAGTATCAGATTTGGCTCAAACCGGTTTATGCAATGTCTGTCCCAGAGCCCTTGCTGGTTTAAGATAAACCAGAACGCCTAGCCTCTCAGCATGCTCTCTGGGCTGGGCAGGGCTCTCTGATCCACAGCAGGGCTGGCCCCTTCCCTCTGCTCCCTTGCTGGAGCTCTGACAGAGACTGCAGGCACAGCTGGATTTGCCTGGCTTCCCCCTGCCCTACCCACCTCTTGCTGCTCAAGCAGGAATCCTCCCCCCACCCTCCCATCTTCCACAGCACAAACCCCAGCCCTACACCCTAGGCATGTGGTATGCTAGCTAATGCTGAGAGGTGTCTGTATGTGTGCCTCTCCAATTTCACTGGGACAGGCAGACAGAACAGTGACCACTTAAGGCTTTTTGGAGCTAATCAACAGGTCAACTGGTAAAGTGTTTAACAAGAGTTTGAACTAATGGAGAGAAGCTATTGTTTTGCTGATGGGGTGATAAACACTGTTCTATCTCCTGCCGGCTTGCTTGCCTGTCATTTTGCTCCAGACAGCATAAAGAAGCAGGAAGGGAAATTAAAAAGCTCCGTATCATCAATACATGCATACACTGCACACACACACCCCTTCCCTCAGAGTACTAGCGGGGGGCTGGGGTTTAACAACACTCCCACCCCTTGAGCAGCCAGCAGGGAAAAGCCTGGGATGCTGCAGGTAGACCCCCCTAATCAAAGCGTCTGGCTGAGGCCTGGCCACACCACTCAGCTCAGCACTGTGCAAAGGGAAGGGAAGGCTGCTCTAGCACCTCCCCGGCTTCTATCCCGAGCCACTGCAGGCTCTGAGCACTGCAGACTAACCTGCAAAGATTGAATCAATTCAGGCTTAGGCTTTTTGAATATCTGTCCCTAGCCTATGAGCCATTCATAGTGTACAAGAGTCTATTTTCTATTAGTTAAAACTACAATAGATTAACATTGAGATATTTGTATAGTTTGTTAACTTGTTTTATGTCAAAACTTAATGAGATAAGTCAGAAAAGTTCTGCAAACATGCAACTTAACTTTACTATTATGCAGTTACATTGATTTCAACATGCTTACGGCAGTACTCTGAAAACACTGTTCAATTTAATAAAGGCGCTTTTGAAATGCAGAAGTAGATCATGCTTATAAAACCATGTTACTTATGCAATCAGAGAGGCAGTTATTTGACCACAGCTGAGAACCTCAGAGGTAAAATTACAACATGGAGATCAGATTGCACCTCCCCTACCCGTGTGACTATTTAAAGGCATGCAAATTCCTAAAAGATTACTTCACTCAAGGTGCTTTAAGCAGCATCTTCATTTCTGTTCTTCAAAAAACACTCTTGGAATATATACTACTCTTGGAATATATTCATCTACCAAGTGCGTCTATTATCAAAAAACCTAAAAGTGACTGGGAAAGAGGCACTGAAAATGATAATGTGAAGTTCTACGCTGTATATTATCTTTTAGAAGGCTTTAATTGTTGAGAATTGTGTGTATAAATATCATTACTCAAACCTTTCAAAATAAGATGCTTACTTAGAAAAAACATTTTATTTTTAATTTTTTTACCTGGGTACTCTAATACATTCTTCTGTTCCAGGCAAGCCAAGCTGTCCCTCAGTAGCTAGACCCCAAGCATATACTTGGCCTTTGTCATTTAATGCTAGCGTATGGGCTTCTCCACATGAAACAGATACAATATTTTGGGCATCAAGGGCACCAACGTGCTCTTTAAAAAAAAAGACAAGAAGAGGAGTTAGATTCTGATGTTATGATTAACAAACAAAAATTATTAAGTCCAGCCATCGCCTACTAAGGCATAAAATGAAATAGCACAGTATATTAATCTAGATTTCTCAATTAGAATACACACAAAATACAACATGATCATAGTGGTGCCAAGTAACTTAAATTTAATAAATGCAGGTGTTTATTACTTTACTGTGGAGTTGCCTAATTAGCTCTGCAGTAAACATCTCAGCATCTACATATGTGGCCCTATGAGGCCACAGTAAAGTAATAAACTCCACAACAGGATAGCATTTGTATTTATAAGTACTATCCTAGTACTAGTATTTACAAGTACTATCCTGCTGCGGTTTTACCATGCACAGCAATGCACATGTAGACACTGACCCAGCTGGCTGGGGCATGAGGGAGCACCAATACAGGGGCTGCCTGTTGGCTAGCCCTGCACTGAAGCACCCTTGTGCCCCAGCCAGTCCCTCTGCAGCACACTGAGCCGACCTGGACCAGCCCCAGGCTTGCATGCTGACCCCCTGGGCCTCCTACCAGCCAGGGGTGCTCTGACCTGGCTCAATGTGCTGCAATCCCAGCTGCACATTCAAATGGTGTGCCAGGAGCAATAAACTCTGGCACAATATACACTGGAGTTTATTGCTTTGAATTAATTTCACATGTAGATGCCCCCATGAAATCAATTTGCGTTAAGTGATTAAACAAACACTTCAAAAGAGAAAATCATTCTACATATTTACTTAAGGATAATGCACAAGGCTTTTTAAGTCCTTTAAAACCCACACACAATAGGGTTGGTTCAAGACAGAGGCCACCTGACTGCAATAAGGCTCCATGCATGTGGTTCTCAGAACCAGCACACAGAATGTTGTAAATCAGGGCTAAAAGGCTAAGTTCTACACTCAGGCTGCAGAACTCTGAAAAACATGCAGCAGGATTATCTGGGGATATAACACTTCATGGTTAACCTCCAATTTGGAAGTAGCTCACATGTATGTCTTCAATGTTTGCATATACTACATTAACACTTTTACTGATCAAGCTACATTCTATACCAGTGATTCTCAACCAAGGTACCATGAGAGCCTTTCCACGGATACTGCAACAGGTGGCCCTTGTGCCAGGAGGTAAGAGATCAATCCTCCCCCTGCATCCTGAAGACAAGCAGCACCCGCAGCTACCCTCTCTTCATCCCCTTACAAAAGCCAGGCACTCCCCGTCCACACACTGTGCATGCACGCTCAGGCAAACAAGTACATATGACACTATGGGGCTACACTTTCCAATCCATCTTATCCCTCCCGCTTCTCACGTTCTACCAAGGCTGGCAGGAGGAGCTGGGGATGTGTGTAGCTCCAGTTGGCAGTGTGCAAGTTACTGGTGGAGCAGTTGTAGTAGTAGGGGCCACATTTGCCCCTTCAAGTACAGAGCAGGGCCAAGGAAGGGGAAGAGAGTGGAAAAAACAACACACAGTGGGGTAAAGTCCTGTTTCTACTGCCCTAATCTGGCACCAGCTAGATTCTAGCTCAGTGGTTCTCAATCAGGGTGATGCTAAACTCCTAAATGATGTAAGGATACCCTCAGACTAAAAAGGTTGAGAAACACTGCACTATACACATTTGCTGCTCAATAGTAAGATATCAAATGGATTAGATTCTGGCAAAAATTAAATGTGGTATTCGTAAGTCCCTCGAACGAGTCTTGGACAAAAGAGATAGCATAAGTAATATTAATGAAAATTGCAGTTTCAGGATGAAACTTCAGCGTAGTAGAGAAGGGCAAAGCACGGTGCCAGAACCTACTAGGAAAAAAAAAAGGTGGCTTTCTAAAGTCATTAATGCCTCAGTAATATTTTCTAAAAATATTTTTTATTTTGATACTTAAGTCTGAACAGTTCGGTGCGGAAACAAACTCTCTCCTGACCTGACTTAATTCTGAAGTGGCAGCAACACTGCATAAAACCCAGAAAGTAACACTAAATGAGCTTTTCTTTTCCCAAGCAAAATTAAGTTTATAAAGAAGTGAAACAACATAAACAGTAAAAGCTAAGTAATGCTTTAAAAATTCACATCATCATAATCTACAATAGTATTACCAAAAGTAGATGAGACAATGGAAGATACTTGCTTTTAATCTCTCAAGGCCAGGAAAACCACAATAAGAACAGACAAAGAGAATGCAAGGTCAGATAAAAAGTTTTCATTAACATTTATGGACTTAGAACATAGTTATTTTCTTCCTCCAATGACTTGGATCCCTCAAGAAATGTTTTATTTCAAATCTCAGCAACTTGAAGAGGAAAACGTCACAAAGCCTTATCATTAAAACTAAAATTTTCAGACATGTTCAACTAATCATATGCCCTTCTTGACATTTATTGCCAATTTTTCCAAAATGTGGAGGTCAGTGCAAGTCCTCAGCATCTCTGAAAAATCAGGTGCAATAGATCAGACATTAGTACTAAGAACTTGGTATATATGAACTTATTAAATATATGAAATGTTGCCATCTCTTGCAATTTAACTACAAGTATTCCAACATTTGAAATTGTTCTTAAAACCCCAACTGTGAATAAATTAATAGCCCTTGTGGTTTTGGAAAAAAGTTTTAAAAAAAAAATGGAGTGTAAATGTTCAGAAGATAAAAGCAAATAAAAATAAATATATTTTTAAAAAAACATCACGTCTTTAAGATGCTCATGATCTTTGAGCACTTGAGGTTATAGCAGTTAGAACATCCTTATAGATAAGCTAGCAGACGAGCTAACTGAAGTATATCTATACTCTTAAAATGTAAGCAAAGAAGAAATGCATTCTCCTTATCCTTGTCCTCAAACACCGTGAGAGTTGTAGAGAAAGTAAAAATAGTCCATGCAGGAGCTGTAGCTCTAGCCTACGCATTCCAAGTATGTCCATTAAGACAATGACCAGTATCTTAGCTGCCCATTAATTCTGTATTAAGTAAATTAAGTGACAAGGAAAAGCAAAAACAAACAAAACAAAAAAACCCACCACCACAGAAGCTTTGGGGGGAAAAGCATAACAATACAAAAAGAGCAGCCTGCCTCACTTTAGCTAATTACAGACAGTCAAAACACCCAAGGCTGAATTGATTCAACCTTTGCAGGTTTTTCTAAACTGCCTAGACTGAACCAAGAAACAAGTGAACTGACATTCACTTTGCATAAGGGAAAGGCAGCCAGATCCGTGCAGTGGCCCATAACAGTAGCTGGAGAGCACTAGAGCAGGCCTCCGGGCCTGCCAGCCACTGCAAAGCACCCTGAGCCCAGCCATTCCCCCAGTCATGCCCTCTCCTCAGCCTCAGGCCAGCAGAGTGGGCATGGGGGGAATCCCTCCCTGGCTTCCAGCTCAGGTTGGGAGGAGTAAAGCCAGGGCTGGGTGATCGGTCCAGCATGGGCAGGGGAAGTAAAGACCCCACTGCAGGCTTCCCCTCTGCCCCTGTTGAGCACAGCTCGGCTGGGAGTCCAGAGCCAGGCAGGGCTGGGAGGACAGCCCACAGTAGGGGCTTTACTCCCCCAACCTGAGCTGGAAGCCAGGAGTTGGGCCAATCACCCAGCCACACACTGTTCTTGGCCAGCAAGCCAACTGAGGAAGGAATGGACTGTGCCTGGCACGGGTAGGGAGAAGCCTGCAGTTGGGGCTTTACTCCCCCCACCTGAGCTGGCCACCAGCAGCTGGGTTGATCACCTGGCTATGCCACCTCCTCAGCCAGCAGGACAGCTGTGGGTGGGGAAAAACAGCCTCCCCCACCTGCCTGGCTCTGGACCCCCACTGGGCTGTTCCTGGCAGAAGTGGAATGCAGGGGGAAGCCCATAGTAGGGGCTTTACTCTCTGCCCAAGCTGTGAGCCAGGCCAATCCCCCAGGGAAAAGGAGGGGGCAGGGGCAGGGCCAGGGGAATCAGCCTGGCTCCCAGCTGCAAGGGATGGAAGAGCCCACGTGACAGCTGTGGGCAGGGCCTGCCCTGCTCCACTGGAGCTGAGAGCACAGCCAGGGCTGCACAGCATCCTAGGATACTAGAGGACTATAAATTAACTTGAATCAGGAAGGGAGCTAGGACAAAATTTCCACAAACCAGTTTGACCTAAATCAGTTAAGTCTGCAACTACATCCACACAGGTTTATCTTAAGCCAGTTTCAGCCATTTTGAAAGTGGCTTAAATGCACTGAACCTCTGTTCTGTTACAGCAGGGGCGGGCAATTATTTTGGGCTGAGGGCCGCTTACTGAGTTTTGACAAGCCATCAAGGGCCGCATGACAGGTAGCCAGTGACAGATAAATATTAATTTTCTAAATTTTTTAGGGGGCTGGATAGAATAGTATGGCAGGCTGCATCTGGCCCATGAGCCGCATTTTGCCCATCCCTGTTACAGGTTTAAATTGGTTACCGATCACTTAAGCTGGTTTGTGTGTAATTTCTGTCCCTAGCTTTCATATTCACAACTGCTCCAAATTTAAAGGTCAATTTGGTAGCCAAAACTCCCTAAAGAGACAGTCATTAAAATGAAAGAAAAGCCTTTAGTCCTAACAACTGCAGACAAATACAGTTGATGCCCATTTACCTCGTAGGATAAGAAGTAGCAGAGAAAGAATGGTTTGTAGCTTTAGTGCACTCAAACTATCTTGCTGAGCAGGTGTCCAATCTCTGCTCCTAGAGGTGAATTTAACATCTTATTTGGATGTATACAACTATTCCTGTCAAAGGTTCCTACAGTGTTTACGTTGCCCATAACTGTACCTAATTAACTGCTACATACGTTCTCACATAAGGAAAAACTGGTGAAAAAAAGTGAGAACCAGAACTGAAAATGAGCTAACCAGTTTAAACCCTCTTGAAACCTCGATTGATCACTTTGGGAGACCATGTAGCTATTACACAACTCTCCGTTTTCCAGATTCACTCATGCAAGGGTCTTGTTACCCATACAGCATAACTTTTTCCTATATGCAACACACAGCTGGGACAACACTAAGACAGAAGTAAGTGCCACCTTTAAGGGCCTATCAGTATTCTTGTTGTTATGTCCTTATAAACAGAGGAGGTTATAACTTGTCTGTATAGCTTTAGTTAATTTGTTTTCAGCCTTTTTAGACATGAGAGGCTCCTTGGAAAGCACCAGCTCTTTGGTTTTCACTCATTTTTTAACCACAGAAAAGTAGTAGAGCAATTTTTCTCTTGCAAAGAACTTGGAAAGATCACAGCAGGTCAAAACATTTTTGACACTATGGATTCCTATTTGGAAACTCTGTTTATCTTGTAAATCAAGTTTGCGCACCTAACTGTGCTAACACTGTCCGGCACCCCACAGCATCCGTAAAAGATTTCAAGGCACCCAAGGATGCCACAGCACCCTGGTAGTAATCACTGCTTTAGTTCCTCCCCTGCCCCACTCCACATAGGAGGCACTCAAACAAGATTTTTTTTTCCCCTAAAGTGCCTCAAAATATTCAGTTTGATATACTTTTCAAATGTAATTTGGGGGACTGTGCATTTTTATAAGACAGTATGCTCACTAAACTCTAACCAAGTACCTGTCACCAGAGGATCATAAATTGAGGGTTGGACCAGATGATCCACGGTGACCCTTCAAAGCCTATCATCCACTCTCCTCCTTATAAAGAAAGTGTCATGCAGCCATCATAAAGGTAGATATTTTTGGAGGCCTAAAGTGACAGACTATAGCCTTTTAAAAACAGATTTTTTGCAACACAGTGAAAGATTATCATTTTACCGTGTAAACAAACCAGAGAGCGAAGGTTCTAGTACTGTGCATGGGAGTACATTAACCATATTTTAAAATAATGTCTGCACGTAAACCTTTCATGCAACATAACCTAATTTATACAACCTCTTTCAAAGCTATTGCCAGTCACCTACAGTTTAATAGGATTTAAAGACATTAACGTGCTCAAATAAGTGATAAGCCTTCTTGAAAATCCTGTAACAGACACAAATGAAAGTTAAATTAATATAAATCATTCTGGAAACTGTATTAAAAATATAAGCAATTTAAAATTTGGCCTATGTATGGAAACTTTTGGATAACTTCTCCTTAAAATCTATGTCTTTATAAAAAAACAACTTAATATTTTTCTGCCTCATAGGTAATAAAGGCCACTGGTCAATTATTTTTTTTTCCCCCCAAGATAGCAAAAAGTACAAGACCTTAGCAGTTATTTAAAGATAACTCATGCAAGTTAGATCTTGATTAAGCTTGTGACAGAAAATACTTGCTCGTGATAAAAACTACTTCCTCTTTGAAGCATATAGTGTTAAACAGTGAAACCTGTGCAATTTCAGTTTCAAGATATTAAGAAACCGATACTTAAGAAATCAATGCTAGTATTCTAAAATAAAAAAAAAAAATCATAACATTATACAATGAAGGAAAAACAAAACTATTTGAAGGATTCTATATTTATAGTAATCTTAGAATTTAATTCTAACTGAAAGAGATCAGAGGAAATTATTATTCTGCCTAGTCAGTTTCTTTACTTTGTGCATTTGACAATACTTAAGAACAGTTCTACTTATATCTCATATTAGTTGTATGAAGATACTGCAAACACTGCTCTGGAGGGAGCACATGTGCACTCTCCTCTGAAGTCCCTGCTAGAGGATGTTCATGAGTACCAAAAGCCACAAGACTTCTATAAAAATGCAACAGCAAACAAGCATGTACATAGCACCCTGGGGAGGAAGGAAAGAAACTGAGGGGGTGTTTTTTGCATTCTAGTTTAAGGCTTGTCAAAGAGATCCTCATGTCGGCATGCAAGCTGAAAGCCCCTTTTAAAAATCTCTTAGAAATGCGTTTAAAAAAATTCTAAAAGTCTATTTGGAAAGTGATTTTCCGCACATTCTATTTTTAATGTTATTTTTAAAGTAAATAATTGTTCCAATTAGATTGCCTCCATATCACAATACTAGATAATTAAAAATGAAATAATTCTATATTTACAGACTGTGGGTCAAATCCTCATTTCTGACATTCTCATTAACTCACATATGTGCAATAGCAATCCACATAGAAGGGAGATGCCAATTCCCCAGGCTGAAGAACAACTCTGCAGGATCAGGTGCTGAAGGATTCCTTTAGCTGTGGACAAAGCGGGCACGTCCACACATGATGTGGATGTTTGGTTCCCCGGGGACAACAAGCAGTGGCACACCTTTTGTCACCACTACTTGTCCCCGGGGAATGCCTGGGCACACAAGTTACTCCAGGGGCAGTAGGGGAGGCTGGGGCCAGCAGCCTTGGCTGGGGACCTCCCCAGGCTGCAGCAGTGGCGATTCTTCCACGTAGGGCCTGGCTGGCAGCCACAGGGGTCAAAAGACTCTCCATGAGAGTTTTCAGGAGTCAAAAAACCCTTTGTGCTGCTCCACTGCAGCGCGGAGAACATCTGAACGTGCAGTACATGGCACCGCCGCACACAGTCACGCTCATCTGAATGCGGCCAGTGGTTCTATACTAAAGATCGTGAGATATGGCAGTATATAGCTCCACAGCAAAGAGATTTAAATAACCATGATGCTAGAACCCAGCCTGCACAGGCTACCTCTAACAGCAGTAAGACAAATCATACTGGTTCCACTGAACATAATAGATTCTTCAGACACAAAGGAGGGCAGCACTTTTTCTCATCTGTCTGATGCATCTCTAGGATTCTTTTAAAGCATTTTTTCTGTTTTATAGAGATTAGCTATTTGTTTGCCAGATTTATGGAATTATATATAAAGGAACACTGACAGTTTCCCCAAGTATCTAAAACAGCTTTGGGAAATATCTTTTCTTTACAATAAAGTGAGCAGAGATGCACCACCAAAACACCTCAAATTATAAAATGTACAATGTCTTACAGAATTCCAGGATCTTGGTCCCATCTATTCCCTTGCCCAGAGCTTACTTACATTCTAATACAGAGCTTTCCAAACTTTTCATGTTGGTGACACACTTTTTAGACATGCATCATTTCGCGACACAGTAATTCAGTTCCGGGGGAGGGGCCAAGGGAAGCAGACGCGAGTAAGGAAGCTCCGCGGTGCCCTTCCGCAAAATTTTCTGCATTTCGCGCGACACACCTACACACTGCTGCCGACACACTAATGTGTCACGGCACACAGTTTGGAAAGCTCTGTTCTAATATAATAAAAACCTTAGTGAGTCTGTCTGTCTGTAACACTTTATTCGCACTCTGATTGGTCGTCTTGGCAGCCAATCTAAGTGCTCTGCACAGACAGACGCACATGGCAGAGCACCACCAGGGACTGAGGAGCCAGAGCAGGGGGGCAAGGCCAGCAATGCTGGCCTCGCCCCTCCCCTGCTCCTTGGAAGCAGCAGTGGCACAACGTGCTGGCAGGACAGCACTGGCCTCACCCCCCAACTCCGGCCTCACTACTGCATCCAAGGGGTGGCCACATACCCCCAGCGAACAGACAGGAGAGGGGGATGGGGGGATGTGGGGGGACCACGTGGCTGGAGGTGGAGCGGTGGCACCGCAGGGCACTGAGTGACAGCACTCTGTCCCTGCCCCCCCCCAAACTTCATGAAGGGCAATTTGCTAGTGTTGGTTATATAAAGGAAAGTCCCATTCAACATTACACATATTGTACACCTTTGTATATTGTTGCACATTTGCTGTCCGTACTATACAGAAACAGCACAGGACAGTGGCTCTTCAACACTTACAAGGGTGAGAGTTTTTTAAAATATGGTATACTTTGGCTTTAATACTTACAGAAAAGATAGCCAAGAGACACAATAGTTATATGTACCCACACACAGGTAATAGTCATTGAGGATATAATTAGACTAAAATTAAGAGAAAAAAGTAGACCAATAAGCAGATGTATTTTATCTAATACTATCAACCAATCAGGCTACAGAATTATGTGCATCTTACATAGAAAGTAGTGGGCTTACTACTTTCTACAAAAGTAAGGTATGAAAAAGCAAGATTTATAAAATAAAAACTTTAAAGTCCCAAACCTGCAGGGCTCTGGAACTGTGTGCACAAAGTTAAATAAATAGAAAGATTTTCTGAGCCCAAGTAGAATAACTAAAATTAAACACCCCCTTCCCCCTACCCCACACACACTTTCTTTTTCCCTCTCTGCCCCACCCCCTTCATAATCTTTAACTTACCTGGTCTCTTTCTGGCTTTTTCATGTCCTAGTTGTCCTAGATCATTACAACCACATGTATAAACAGTCCCATCGTCCAGGACAAAAACAGTATGCCTGAGTCCACATCCTACATCTCTCACTTTTTTATTTAGGAAAAAGTCACTTTTTCTGGGTTCTAAAACAATCTCTTCATCAATTCCACCCAATCCAAGTTGTCCAAAGGATGCATTTCCCCAACACAACATGTTGACAGGTCTTTTGATGAAAACAATCTTCCAGTTTCACGTCAAAAATATCCCTTCTGTATCACTGTTCAGGGAAAAGTCATAAGTTCAGTACTATTCTAAAGGAAATATTTTTTTAAATGCTATAAACTTTAAAAGCATGTTATAAAGCACATCCTTTAAAAACCAACTGTATAAAATAAAATCATAATAAACATATTCATTGGTAAACATTTCACTCCTTTGATTTTTTTTGTAATTAACACTGAACTACAGCACAGATCTTGCACTGTGATTAATCCAGGTAGAGTGCTGTCCCAAGATATGGACCTCCTTAGATTTCACTGGCCTGAAAGGCAAGGAGCCCTCTAACAGAAATTATACAATTTAAATCTAATCTGATGAATAATTCCACATATTTCATTCCCTCCTCTCATGTTCATCTATGCTTCTTGCTTTCTAACTGGACCTCACCTTCTTACTAACTGGGCTTAGTAAACATTTGTAGACAAGACAAAGCTACATTTCTCTCCTTTTTGGTTTCCAATTTGGCACAAAGTATTTGTGATATTTCTAGAAGGCCAGTTCACATAAGGTGGAGTCTCCCCTTATTTCAAAACATTCTCAATTTAAGAGCACCAGAAACTTTCATCCAAGATCACTGTGATCAAAACAGCATAACTAAACAATGGGAACTGACTATAAATACATTATATAGAGTCATAGAAAATTAGAGTTGGAAGGGACCTCAGAATGTCATCTAGTCCAGTGGTTCTCAACCTTTTTTGTACCAGGACTCATTTGTAAACATTGATGGCCAGTCCCGACCCAGTGCCCCTCACTCCCAAACTGCTGCCCCCCTGGCCCCACTCCCCCAGTGTGCAGGGCATGGGGTGGGATACCCAAGCAGTCCCTCACAGGCTGGTGCTCAGCCAGCCTGCAAGGGAAAAGTCACAGTTTGTTCTCGCGACCCACTTTTGGGTTGTGACCCACAGTTTGAGAAACTATTTAAGACAACCCCCTGCTCAAAGCAGGACCATCCTCAGCTAGATCATCCCAGTCAAGGTTTTGTCTACCCAGGTCTTAAAAACCTCTGGGGATGAAGATTCAATTCATGTACAATTCACATGTGTACAAATTTCCATTCCGAAAGATGGTAACATGCTTCATAATCTATATAAAAGCATGCATCCAGCACAAAAGCTGCTGACATGCAGCCAGCAACTAGCACCTGGAAACAAGGAGGGTGAAACCACAGATTAAAACAACAGAACTTGGTTTTAAGTCCCAAGTCCTGAAGAGGAAGTTTCAAGTTCTTCTTATAAACAGACCGGTGCAGGGAGGCTTTCCGGACTGTCTACCTCGAAGGGGAACCCGGGTCATTATCTCCTACCAGGCTCGAAGACGTACCAGATGAAGCAGCCTTGAGTTAAGACATAGTGACACACACGCAACCTTCACGCATCCGTGCAGCGGGGTCCGTCCTGCAAGAGGGGAAGGCAGCAGAGAGGTGAGGCCGCCGGGGCCGCATCCCCGCGTCTGGGCTCCTCGCGAGCAGCGGGAGGAGGCGGACGTACTGCCACGGCTGATCCTGCCCCTTGGCTGGCAACGAAG